AACTGACCGACAACCAGTCCGTTTATGGCGACTTCCAGTCTCTGGTCACCGCCAGTTTATCCACCGCCGGAAGCACCGCTGGCAACCCTAAAATCTGTGTAGTTCCCACTACACACCAATTTGTCCTTTGGTCTTCTCCACAACTTCTAATTAAAAATACAAGCTTTTAGCAACAAAAACACAAAAAAGAACAAAAACCCACAAAAAGAACAATAGATAAAGAAATTAATTTGAAGTTTCCATAATGTTAAGCTCCAAAAATTTCTCTTCCTTTCCCAATGTAATTTTTATTAAATTTCAAGGCAGAAAACAAATACTAACCTCAAAACGCAAGTATTCTCATGAAACCCAGTAGATCGAAAGCTCACAGTATCACCTTAGCAACATCAAACAACGAAATGAAAACTGAAAAAAAAAGAGCAAAAAACAGGGCAAGAATCATGGTAAAAAATCAGAGAAAATCACCAGGTGCAGAGCGAAGGCGAGGCTGGTGAATAAGCAGACGGCTCTGGATAATCCTTGTGACGTACTCAATCTCCGAGGAGGCACACTATTTACTCTCGTGAAGGCCGCTGGAGCCGTCGAGTTGGTGCCGGAACTCGTCGAACTACTTCTCGAGCGCACCGACGGTTTAAGTGGCGGATTTGTTGTAGTTAGCAATTTAGCATCGTGTAATTTCTGTATCTATGGATGGATATCACTACCCATTTACAGTCATGCCCAATGTTTTTTCGGAATTTATTTTATTCAGATTTTATTTACCTTTTTAATTCGTGTATCACACGATTCAAATTGATATGGCCACATTTTTTGACCAATCTATATATTGTACAGATTTTGTTTACTTTGTTAATTCAAAATACAAAATATGAACGCCAATTATAGAAAAAAAATTCAAAAAGAATTACTAAAAAAAGTAAAATTGAATTCTTTAGGTGTTTCTATTTTCAATTTGAAGTCTTAAATGCAGAATTCAACACACAATCCCCCTCGTTGCCCAAAAATTCCTGAAACCTAATCCCATAAATTCAAGCTCGCCGTGTGCCTTCCCCGGCGATTCGCCGGTCCCTTTGACGGCGGATGGCTCGCCGCTGCACCCTCAACCCTATTCTCTTCTCATCTACATCTCTTCTCCCCTGCATCGATGGCGGATCTGAGGTCTCAAACACCGATGGTTGTCTCGGTGGTGTGGATTTTGGGCCGCGTTGTCGAGGGTTGGCTCGCCTTTTGGTTTCGCTCTGGTTTGGTTCGCTAGTGGCGAGCTCGATTTCGGAGCTTCCGGTGGAGAGCTCGTCTTGCAGTGGGATGTGGGAGTTCGGTGTTTGGTCGGGTTTTGGGGGTGGCTCTGGATGCTCGGCTCGCCGGAGTTGAGTGGGCTAGGGCTGAGGCAGGTCGATTCGAGCCCCCTGTATTCCTCGCTACTGCTGTTGTGACGTGGGGTGTCCGGCTTACCGGATCTAGGCTAGTGGTGTTGGCCGGATCTAGGGAAGCCGGAGTGTGGGGGGGCTGGTCGACTTTCCTCCGGCTGTGGGTCGGTTTTTACTTCTTGGAGTTGTCCGGGGCCTCGGATTTTGGCTTCAGCTAGGCGTTTCGGCAGTTTTGGGAGCCGATTTCTAGGTTGTGGTTCATCTCTGTGGGTGTTTGTCCGTGATTCTGTTGGTGCCTCGTGTTGGGATTGGTATTATTGCTGTGGGAAGGGTTGATTATGTTTTTATTTTAGTTTTTTTGTTTTGTTATGTGTTGTAGGTGTGTGCTCGTCTTGTGTTTGTCTTTGTGTTTTAGTGTTTTTGGTTTGGGCCGTTGGCCCCTGTTAACCTGGGTGTTACCTTTATTCTCCTGTGGGGAGCCAACACCTAGGCATTCTCTCTGAGGGGAGCTTTTAGTTTTGTGATTGTGCTTTAGTTGTGTTTTTCTCCCGTGGGGAGCTAGTTTCTAGTTGTTCGTTGTTTGAGTTAGGTTTTCTTCTGGCGTTGCCAGCGATTCTAGGCGGACTTCGGTCTAGCCTCCCAGTTTGTAATTCCGCACTTTTGTGCGCCTTTTATATAATTCTTCTATCGTTTCGGAAAAAAAAAAANAGGTGGGAAATAAGTTACTTTTTCCGGTAATGCCAAACCTTTTTATATTTATATAGATATAGATTTATAAAATAACCACCATACATCGAATCTATATCTATATCTATATAAAAAGGTCTGATTATTTTTTAAATAGAAACTATTTCCATAAAAAATATATATTTACTATTTCATGAAATTATTTTAGCAATTTATGGTATATTTCAAATAATCGTTTATAGAAATTGCGGCTCATTATTTAAAGAAATGTTATAAGCCATAAAAAATCATTTGTAAGATACGTTAATTACTCAAATCATGTGAATTTGGTTGATTTACGTAAATATGGGAATTTCTGCTGCAATATCAATTATGCGATTTGGTAAAAATCTTCCAACTAACTTGTTTAATTAATTATTAATAAGTGTTTTATATTTTTCGTGTAATTCTTTTGTGAAATACATTTTTAATATACCTTAATTACGCAAATTGTGTAAATTCAAATGATTTATTCAGTCTGCAAATAATTACTAGAATTGTGAAAATATCAACTAAAATAATCATTTATGCTATTTGCAAAACTATTCTAAAAAAATTGTGTTAAGAACATTTTTTTTAAGTATTATTTAATAATTTTTATTTATTTTTTTGTCCTTCATTACTTAAATTGTAGATAATTAAGAAAATAATTAGATCATAAAAAATTATATTTTTTAGATACCCTAATTAAATAGTCGAGTAAATTTGGTTAATTTATTCAATCATAATTTTGTAATATAAAATTCCAAAATAATTGAATTAATGGCAGCTTATATTTAATTATTATTTTTTGGGTCTTTTTTATTTTTATCTATAAAAAACATGGGTCTCGATTTTGTTTTGTACGCTGGACAATTAATTTTATGGTAAAATTGAATATCATTTTTAGTATTATATCGATAAAATATGAACTCGAATAATTTTGGTATACTATATATTGATCCAATATACCCGTTTATGGCAAAAAATATTATCTCAATATATTCTTTTTTATATATATTGCTAAGAATTTTACTCGATATTAATGAGAGAAAAATCTGGAGAATACTATAGTTTGTAAATGTGCGTGGAACATATCAAATTATTTTCATATATATATATATAGACACACACACATATAAAGGTTTGTATTTACTTGAATCAAATTTATAATCAAATCAAATTTCTGAATAAAAATTTTATAATGACATCTATTTCGAAATGAATATAATGTAATTTATTATTAGTTACTTGCATCGTACGAGTCGTGTACCAATTTTAAATAAATATATTTAATGTAATTTTGCACAATTTATATTTCATATAACATTTTCAATAAATTAATATAGGTAAGTTGTATTACATATTGATTTTATATTTTTAATTTATAAATATTATTTAATGAATATTTTTAATTTATAAATATTAAAGAATATTTCTTACACGTGCATTGCACGGGATTCGTACTAGTCTATCTATTAATATATAAAGAGGGAATGATAGTTGTTTGAAAAAATCATGTAGAAAATCAGGAAAAAAAAAGATTTCAAATCCCGCCTAAATTTTACTATAATGAGCAGGATTTTTAACGAAAAAATTGAATAAGCCCGCCAGTTCAAATTTTTTGGAGATTTTATTTATTGATTTCACTCTATTTGGACTCATCTATTTCTACAATCTGATTAAAACAAAATTTGTAAGAAAAGTTCCGCAGGAAAAGGAAAAAGGAGAAAAAAAGGGAAATCTCTCTCTACTCATCCCCAAATCCTTTTTTTTTTCTCTCTCCATTTTCCCCCCTTTTCTTCTTTTGCCCGATTTTCTTCTTTCCCTCATCCGTCACTCTCCTTCTTCTTCTGTCTCCAATCGCAAATTACCTCCCAACATCAGAATTGGTCAGCCATTCTCAACTATCCTCTTAAAATTTATCAATAACACCCAAGAATTCCAAATCTCGAAATCAATTTCCTTTCTTCCCCATCCAATCGTTTCTCTAAAATCCGGTCGGTGGTCGAGCCTGAAAACAACGCGGACGGAATTGAATCGGCGCTGGCGACAAGGGCGATGCGCCGCCCTCTTCTGGTCTCTCGGCCTCAAGCCCTCCGACGACCAGATCCACGCCCTCCTCGCCAACATGGACGCCAATGACAAAGGCGCTGTCCAGTTCGACGAGCTCGCCGTCGCCATCCTCCCCGACATGGAAGACCAACTGTTGGAGGTCTTCCGCTCCTTCGACCGCGACGGCAACAGCTACATCACGGTTGTGGAGCTCGATGGCCTATCTCGAAATAAGCGAGATGAACTCTGTATAATTGAGTTGTATTTATTTATTTATTTTCAATTTTTGAGACTTAGGGTTTCTTCCTCAGTTGGAGGAACGTCGACCTTTTCTATCAATTGGTTTTTCTAATTGTTTTTTTTTTTTTTTTTGGTTGNAAAATTGGATTTTTTTGATGTACATGCATGGCCTTTTGAAGATTGACCATGAATTTTATGCTTTTCAATTTTTAATAAGTGTAGTGATTCTAGAGCTTTGTGGGTTGTGATTATGATGGGTAGTACAGGTGAGGCTGACAAGAAGCGGCGTCACTTTAGCCCCGCTGCTGCTGCCGGGAAGAAGCAACTTGCGCCGTTATCTGAGAAGAAAAAGGTGAAATTTTTACTTAATATTCGTTTGGGTCTCTCAGATTGACTTTTGCTAACTACGGACTTACGTAATTAAGTGAATTTGAGATTTTTCCAGTTGTTATCCGCTTGAAGTAGTATGCTTGGTTGCTGATTTTCAGTAGAGGTGTTCTTGGATAAATTGTGTTGCAGTCATTAAGTGGTGATGATTTTGGTCAGTGATCATTTGCATGGAGGTTTTTGATTTGTGGGGAAATTATGTTAATGTTATGGATTTGGGGTCTGGGCATCGTGGGTGGAATGTCACCCTAACATTGATTTTAGTTACATCGTGATTTGAATTTTCATTTTTATTTATATTTGAATGTTTATTATTTATCTTATTGGCAGCTTGGTCACTACCTATACATAGAGTATTGAGGATGTTAACTATTTTCAGATGTTAACTATTATAGTTCTACGTTGATTATTTTCAGATACTCCGAGTGATGAATCTAAAAGATTTTATTTTTCAAACGGATCCTTCAAGTGAAGATTCTATCTTGCACTTTTGTACCAATCTTTAGTTAAGCTGACGTACAATTACATCCTCAAATTTTCATAATATTACATATAGTCTTCTGTGTTCCGTACGTCTATTTGCAATGTATAGCAAAACTAAGCAAGGTAATTGTAAGTTACAAAATGTGGTAAAAATACAACTCCAGCTTGGCCATGTCATACGATCATTAGTTTATGTTTATTTAGCTTCATGCATTACATGTTATTCTATTTCTTAGTTGGTTGGATTTGTCTATTTTTAAGGCTTAGTTTGAGTCTTGATGGTATTAGTGGATTAATGCCCGAAGTGGTCAATTTTTGTTTTCTTTGTTAGCCCATTATAAGCCTTAGTTTGTATTCAATATTAGTTTGTTTGTTTTCTCAATTCCAACATGATGCCAGAAACTGATGCAAGCACAACGATTAGTGTAAATTGTCAAAAGATCAAAGTTTTTATTGTGTTTTTACAATTGAGTAAAACTTGAGAGGTATGTTTTGGAGCTACTTCTAAATTTGAAAGTCAGTTAATAAAGTAAGGCAGTTGGTGCTTGAAATCCAACTGTACTTTATTCTAATCATGTTATGAAGTCTTAACGATCACAGTCTAAATTGATATAATTTTTTAATATTTTGCTTCATTATATAAGAAACTTGCAGACAAAATTGCAGCTTCAGGCTTCTTGGTAGTGGCTCCTGATTTCTTCTACGGTGATCCGTTTGGCCTTGAAAAGTCTAGAGAATCATGGCTAGAGGCTCATAGTCTGGTTAGTGTTGAACCACTCTTGCTATTTAGTTGTAATCATTGGCGAATACAGGATTGTAATATATGAAAAAAAAATTTGCAATAATGTAAAGATAAAATAGGACATAATCACAAAGCTGTTTATAAAATTTACTTTCTAATTACCAGAAGGAAAAATATATATATAAATGCTCTTTAAGTTTTTGTATGCGTTATAAAAAGCGGATGCACCTTCAAGAATCAAGAGTTGTGCATTCGTAAGAAAAAAAAGGGTACATGTAAGGAGTTTAATGAACATTTTATTAATGCATTCCCTTTATTTATTAAACATCTGGCCTTTTTTACAGTATCCTTTTCTCTTTTTACTATGTAATTACAATAATATGAGATTCAATTTGAAGTATTTGCCTTGGACCAACCCTGTTTACCAAATAAAAATGTAAATTTTTCCGGGGTTGTACTACTGACCTCCACATCTGAATTAATCAATTGTGAAGTTAAAAAAAAAAAACTCAAAACTCATTTGTCTGATTGCACAAGAGAAACATTGTTCTATTATTTTGTCAAACTTCCTTAAAACTCTAGTGCTATTGTTACAGGACAAAGGTTGTGAGGATGCCAAGATTGTAATTGATGACTTAAGAAGCAAAGGAGTGTCCAAAATTGGAGTAGCAGGTTTCTGTTGGGGATGCAAAATCAATTGTCTATTATTCTCTTTGCTTATTGTTTTAGATATTTGCAAAACTACTCTTGGATTGGACTTTGATGATCACTAGAAAATATAGAGGAAGTTTCAAAATTACAGACACCTTCCGAAGTTTGTTATGAAATTTCAATTCCATATAAGATGTAACAAATTTAGAAAAGTCAATGAATGGCTTAAAAATATCCATTAAAACATATCATATATTAGAAAATATATATATAAATATATATCATTGACTATTTGGACAAATCTTTATATTTTGAGAAGTTGAATTATGTTGCCTTTGGTTATAGTGATGGTTGCAGTGAAATTGGTCAAATTTGACTGCATACAAGCAGTAGTTTTATTGCATCCAGGTCCCATTACAGAAGACGAAATAAATGGTTATATTTCGATATATTAATTCTCAATTTTTCAAAATTAATGTTATTTTAACATTTAACCATCCATATAAACATTTCATTTTCTTATCATACCGTGGATTTTAGAAGTCAAGATTTCAATTGCAATATTGGGAGCAGAAATCGACAACCATGCACCACCCGAGCTCTTGAAAAAACTAGGAGATATTTTATCAGCAAAAGCAGATGTAAAATGCATTCATTTTGGTGCATTTTAAGAATGAGTACATAAATGCTGTAATTTTTGTGAAAGCATTAATCTTGTGATGTTTTAAAACTTCGCCCCACAAATTTTTTCATGGGGAGTTAGTTTTTGGGTTTTTGAGGGTAGTTCCTATGTTTATTTCTCTCAAAATCGCCCAAAAAAAAAAAAATCAAATCAAGTAATAAGCTTATATCATATAAATCCACATTTTAAAACTTAGAAAATAAGTACATATATAAGCACCAAAATTTCATCTATAAATAAACTCACATTCCTGGTAAATGAAATCTAATACTAATCATAAATTTACACATTCAAAATAAAGGCATGGATCAACCCTTGGTCTAATCAAGGATTTTAAATGAAATACGAAAGTCATCTTAAAACTTCCAGCAACATCTTGAAGACGATGTTTGATGCCTCTTACAGAAGTTATTTGGAAATAGTTTTCCACAATAGTGATGTTAGTATTCTTTATTATGTGTTTTAATAGTAGTTGTCAATATCTATTATTTTAATATTTTTTGATGAAAATATTTTTTTGTATTGCCATTTTACAGGGTGGCCGCATAACTGGATTAATTCGTGACGTTAACATTACAAAGATGAGTGACAAGTTCGAGGATGGTAGAAAGTAACATTAGTAAATCACAATCTATTACTGCAAAGTGTTGAAGTATCTTACCGATTTTTCAATGTTTTATTTTGACTTTTGCAATTTTGCTATGCAGCAAGATGTTGACAATATAAGCAAATGGTTATGTTTTTAATTTTATTTTTAAATATATAGACATATGTGTGGTTGTGTTTTACTTTAGTTCTCTACGTGTTATGTTATTAACGTATATCCCATCGTTTAATATAAATATTAATATGTATCTCTTACTCGTGCATCGCACTAGATTCGTACTAGTTTGAAATGAAACCAAATGAGAGGGACCAAAAAATATTAGATCCCGCCCAAAGTCTCCAAAAGCAGCTCTCTTTAAAATTGAAATTGCGAGTTGGAATTTGGAAGGCTCCGTTTTCAATTTCTTTTCAACTCCCCCTCAATTAATAGTCACCTCAATCTCACACTCCCATCGCTTTTCACTGTCGCTCAACGAAAACTACCGTTGCAAAAGGAAAGTTCGACCTAACCCAAATCCCAGTCTTGCCTGTTCCCGTTTGAGGTAAGCTCCTGGTTTGCTCGTTTTCCGTTTGACGTTGCTTCCTTTGTTTGGATTCTCGATGTATTTCAGAATTTGTTTTTTGTTTTTGGGAAGTTTTTTGACATGAAAGGAGGAAATTCGAAGGCTGATTCGAAGAAAGCCGACAGCAGGTAAGCGATGTTTTTATGTCGAGCATTTTGCGTTACTTTTGCGATACTTCGCTCTGTGTGTATTTTTGGGTGTGTGTTTCCAGTTTTTGTTTGGTTCTTATCAGTTTTCTGTTTCGTGGCTCAAATTCTAAGAAACTCTGTTTTTGCGCTGCTTATAATATTTTTGAGTTTTAGGTTTTGTTTGGTGAATTCATCTGTCATGGCTTTTCGTGGATTTGGTTGATTGATGTTTTGATAACTATACTTTTCTTTGTTACGTTTTACCATTGTGTTCTAAAATAGTAGAATCAGCACGAGTTCCTATTTTTCTGGTAGATCTAAGAACCAGACATTTATTACTGTCTATAATTTATGATATTTGTTTTATCACGTGGTTGTAGATAATTTTATTTTTAATTTTCATGCAGCATTTGGTTACGCAGATCTAGTTATTTGGAATTAGGTCTTTAAATGAGTTGAGCTGAGCCGAGCCAAGCTCTTGTTCATGATTCTCATGCTTGGCTCATTAAGTAAATGAGGTGCCCATGGAGTTGGAGCTCAGACCATTTATCAAAATTAACAAGTTTAACTTCAGTCTTAACTAGCTGATCTCTGCTAAGAATTCAATACGAAAGCCTATGTTTCTCAAACCTTAACCAGCCAAGTCTAGCTCACAAGTGGTTCTTTTTTGTTTAACAACTCTATCTGCAATTATAAGTTCTTCTATGTTGAGTTTCTGATGAAATTTAGTTGCTGTACAATCTTAACATGTAAAAAAGTTGGCATAAAAAGTAACTGTTGTTGTTGTTGCTTTTTTCTTTTTTTATTTATTTATGTAAATGAATTTGTCTTGTTCTTTCATGCTTACTGTTCCTACGTGATTTTGGTTGAAGTATATATTTGCCCTGACAAGAGAGAGTAGCTGTTCCAATCCAAAATTAAACTATTTGCTAGTTATTCACTTAGGAATGGACCAACCATTTTTTTTCCATGTTTCATTCAACTTCTTATTCACCTTGTTTGGTGGATATTACGAAATTAGGCTTGCTGTTAAGAAACAGACGAAGAAAGGAAAGCAGGCAGCAAAGGATCCAAACAAGCCAAAGAGGGCTCCAAGTGCTTTCTTTGTTTTCATGTATGTGTAAATTGCACTGTTATCTATTGGTTTTTCAACCTTTTTCTTGGCGCCATTTTCTTATTAAGACCAAGTTCTGTAATTTGTTTGTGTTTCTAATATGCTCAAGCTCATATACATATTGCAGGGAAGGCTTTAGGCAGGAATACAAGGAAAAGCACCCTAAAAACAAATCAGTTTCTGCTGTGGGTTTCACTCCTTTAATATTCCTACTCTTGAATCAGCCTACTGCTGTTTATAGTATTTTACACTTTTAATTGGGTGGCAAAATGTAGGTTGGCAAAGCTGCTGGTGAAAAGTGGAAGTCTATGAGTGACGAGGTAACTGTATCTAGTTATCCAGACATTTATGCTGAAATGTTACTCGTTTTTGCTGTGACAAATTTGTTTTATCTGGAACCTCTGACCAAAATGTATAAATGTCAATTATTAGGAAAAGGCTCCCTTTGTGGCAAAGGCTGAGAAGAAGAAGAAGGAATACGCGCGACAGATGGACGCCTACAACAGAAAACTGGTAGCTTTTTGTCATTCGCCGTTACATTTGTCATTAGATTTACTATCTTTCGTTAAGTAACACATATGTAACTTGCTATTTTTTTTCTCATTCCAATATAGGCTGGAGAAGGTGATGAAGAGTCGGATAAATCAAAGTCTGAGATTCATGATGAGGAAGATGGGGAAGACAGTGAGGAGGTCAGTTGCTCACATTGAGTGTTTAATTTCTGATATTGATAAATGATAATTTACTTATCATGTTAACAAATGCTTAGGGGCCATCAAGGACGATAAATCCAACACGATTTTTATTACGTAACAACTCTGCTATGTTGATTTATCGACTTTGGTATATGTTCTGGATATGGAAATGGCCTATTCACCTTCCCTACTTTGTCTGCAGGCATGAATTAGTAGTTTTTTACAGTATAACTTTTTGGCTTCTGCACAATTCTTTAGAACATGGAAGTTTACGTAGTATTCGATGAAGATGCTTTTAATTATCAAGCTGTGCAGTGTTTCATGTGATTTTTAGCTAATTTCTCAGTTATTTTGTTTTATTGATGTGATGGCGGTCATCTTTTTACTTACCTGTGAGATGCTATTGTGGTATTAGTTCACTTTTAAATTCATTGTGCTAAATTGTTTGATGTATCAAAGACTAACTTGCGATCCAGCTCTTGAGCTTATGAGCACCACAAAGAGCAGGTATAATAAGTCAACATATTTCGTCCAAACTTAGGCCCAAATCATAGCTTTTGAATATGTCGACGAGTATTCCGTGACCCTAAATTTTGTGTAAGCCTTTGCTCTGTTCTTTATTCACCCTGTGTCATTGTTGGTATTTGGGTGTTAAAATATACGGGAATTCTACGAACTGATATGTATTTTTCAGTTTTCACAAATAATCTAAAAAATAGAAAATTACAATCGTACTGAAAGAATAAATTACAACTGAAAAATAAATTAATACTCAAAACAAAACTGAAAGATTTTAACCGAGGCGAGAAAAACTCTTTCCGCAAGAAGAATACGCCCCATGTGGCAGTTAACGGTTTAGGCGTAACTTCCCCAAAGATACAACGGCAAAAGTCTCTAAATTTGTAGCACACCAGATTTACGAGCTCCGGTGAACAAGAACGGAGTCGAGAATTGAGCACTTAAAAATAAGAATAAAATATCACTCTTTTGTTATTTTGATAACAAATAAATATTTGTTATATTTTTCTGTTCTTTCTTTCTCTCTATCTTTCTCTTCTTTTCTTCTGTGCATTTTTCTCCTCTGCCAAGTAACCTATTTATAGGGAGAGAATTGGCCACCTTCATATGCACCTTCCCACAAATTGCATTTTAATTATTAAGAGAAAGTGGTCGGTGGATCTTGGATCTCTAATCCAATTTTTAATATTTTTTTTATTAGAGAAAGTGGGGCGCTGGATCCGCCCCTAATTTACATTTTCACACACAATCCCCCACAAAAGTGTAAATTAAATATATACTATTGTGCTCAACCCTCACAAAACTCTATTGCATCAGAGAAGGTAGCTTTTGGCTTTGAACCTTTCATAGTAAACATCATCGGATGCACTGGCGGCCTAGTGGACATAATGCCTTGAACTATTCCTCCATAGTGTACACCGAGACAATGACATTCACACAATAGAGTCTTAACTCTATTCCGTTCTATCGTTGTGTCCGTTTTGGCCATGGACATCACTTTGGATTCATAAGTGTTTACAATTGAAGCGGCCCACACTTCACACTTATATAGGTGTCCTCCCTATCAAGAGTATCCTGTATTACTCCACCTTTACAAGGTTAGGGATTCATTAAAAGTCCACTTGACTTACCCTCACCACAATCAACAGGTCATCTTGCACTTGGAGTGCTCTAGGGAATAGCTTTGAACATTCATATATTCCAAGTGCTCAACTGAATTTTCATAGCTTAGTTTTTCCTTTGAACCAAGTTCGTGGGATCTCCACTTAGCATGGTAGGGTTACCACTATGATCATTCCTTACATTGTGGATTTTTAAGCCCATTCCCTCTAGCAAAACTACCAATTGATCTCTATTCGATCCTTTCGTCAAAGGATCAGCCAAATTTTCCTTAGACTTCACATAGTTAATGGAAATAATACCATTTGTGATATATTGGCGTACGGTATTATGTCTACGACGAATATGTCTAGACTTACCATTATACAAGTTGCTTTGTGCTCTACCTATAGCAGCTTGGCTATCACAATGAATCATCACAGGCGAAATATCGGATAAAAAATTTCTAAGCCACTTGGCTTCTTCACCAGCTTTATCTAAAGCGATGAACTCCGATTCTATCGTTGAACGAGCTATACACATTTGTTTCGTGGATTTCCACGAAACTGCACCTCCTCCAATATAAAATACATATCCGCTAGTGGAGCGAGAATCTCTCGATTCTGATAACCAGCTTGCATCACAGTACCCTTCAAGTACGGCTGGGTATCTCGAGTATTTTAGCCCGTATTCAAGGGTGTACCTCAAGTACTTAAGTACCCTTCTCAAAGCATTCCAGTGCTCATGACTGGGATTGCTCGTAAATCTGCTCAACTTATTCACCGGATAGGCCAAGTCTGGTCTTATACAATTCGTCAAGTACATCAGACTCCCTATTATCCGTGAATATTCCAACTGAGCCACTGGTTGACCTTTATTAGCCACCAGATTTATACTAAGATCAAGGGGCGTCTTACACCTAGACTGTGCACCGTCATAGGTATCAAATTTCTTGAGCACTTTATCTACATAATGAGATTGTGACAAGACAATTCCATCTTGGGTTCTGATAATCCTTATTCCAAGAATAACATCAGCCAAACCCATATCTTTCATGTCGAAATTTCTTTTCAACATTCTTTTTGTATCCATGATCACTTCATGGCTACTCCCCATGATCAACATATCGTCTACATATAGACGTACAATCACAAATGTATTTGATGTACTCTTGACATAAACACATTTGTCACATTCATTGATTTTGAAATCATTTGACAACATCACGTCATCAAATTTCAAATGCCATTGTTTCGGAGCTTGTTTAAGTCCGTACAAGGATTTGATCAATCTACACACATTTCTCTCATGTCCAGGTGCAACAAACCCTTCAGGTTGTTCCATGTATATTTCTTCTTCCAATTCACCATTCAAAAATGCCGTCTTGACATCCATTTGGTGAATCTCAAGATTGTGCAAAGCAGCAATCGAGAGAAGCACTCTTATCGACACTAAACGCGTAACTGGTGAATAGGTATCAAAGAAATCATACCCTTCCTTTTGTTTAAAGCCTTTGACCACCAATCTTGCTGTAAACTTATCAATCGATCCATCAGCTTTATATTTCTTCTGTAGGATCCACTTGCATCCTAAAGGTTTACAACCATCAGGGAGATCAACCAATTTCCAAGTATGATTTTGCATAATGGACTCGAGTTCGCTATTTATAGCTTCTTCCCATAGTGGTCCATCTGTGCTGGACAGAGCTTCCTTAAAGGAACTCGGTCCATCGTCCAACCTGTACGTAATAAAATCAGGCCCAAACGTTTTCGCCGTTTTTACCCTTTTACTACGTCTCAATTCTTCATCAGTACCCTCTGGTACAGAACCATTAGCAGTTTCATATGTTCGTTTATTAGAACTAGTTTGTGCCCTTTCCTTCAGAGAAAATATATTCTCAAAGAATATAGCATTCCTCGACTCAATCGTGGTACCAACAGATACCTCTGGATTTTCTGATTTATGAACCAGATATCTATATGCTGTACTATTGTACGCATATCCAATAAACACACAATCGACCGTCTTTGGCCCTATTCTCATTTGTTTGGGTTCAGGAACTGAAACCTTAGCCAAACACCCCCACACTTTCAGGTATTTATAAGACGGTTTACAATTTTTCAGAATATGATTTGCTATTAAAACAACTTCCCCCCACATGTTTTGGGGTAATCCTGAATTTATCAACATGACATTCATCATTTCTTTTAACGTACGGTTCTTGCGTTCAGCAACACTGTTCGACTGTGGAGAATAAGGGGGCGTCGTTTGATGAATTATGCCATATTCAGAACATATTTGTTCAAAAGGAGATACATACTCCCCACCCCTATCACTTCGGATTATTTTAATCCTTTTGTCGAGTTGATTTTCAACTTCGGTCTTATAGATTTTAAATGCTTCCACAGTCTCGTCTTTGCTTCTTAATAAATATAAGTAGCAAAACCTTGTGCAATCATCGATAAAAGTAATAAAATGCTTTTTACCGGTTCTTGTTTGCACACTTTTCATATCACATACATCAGTATGGATTAAGCCTAATGGTTCAGTACTCCTTTCCACCGAGTGAAAAGGCAACTTAGCCATTTTTGCTTCAATACAAATCTCACATTTCTTATGTGATCCAATTTTAGAATTAGGAATTAATTCTAAATTCATCAACCGTTTAATTGCATTTAGATTTACATGTCCCAATCTAATATGCCATAAATCAGAGTACTCAACGGTATAAACAGAAATAGGCTTTTCATTATCATTTAAAACGGTTACACGGCTCACGGCCATTACATTCATTTTGAACATACCCTTGTCGAGATAGCCACGATCAAGGAAAGTTCTAAACTTGCTAAGAACAAATTTCCTAGCATCAAATACCAGCCTAAATCCATGCTCAACAAGAAGAGATCCGAAGACCAAATTCTTGCGGATGTCTGGGACATGCAGAACATCCTTAAGCTTCAACTCCTTTCCAGAAGTCAGCTTCAGCACCACAGTGCCCACTCCAGCCACATCAGCCGTGGCTGAGTTTGCCATGTAAAGTTTCCAACTCTTAGCAGGAGTGTATTTAGAGAACACCTCCTTATCGGAACACACATGACATGTGGCACCAGTATCGATATACCCCTCTCTTGGGTTATCCACCATATTGGCTTCAAACACTACTGCCGACATATCAAAGTCGGTCAGTTCACCCGGCACAGGGCCGTGTTCAGCCATAAGGGCACTGGGTTGCCCTTTCTTTGGCCCAACCTTCTTTGGCCTCTTGCAGTCTTTTGCCATATGGTTTGGCTTACCACAGTTGTAGCAGGTTCCAGTAAACTTCCAAACCTTGGCAGACTGCTTCCCTTTGTCAAGGGACTTCCTCTTGCTCGAGTGGCCTTACTCCAGCAAGTTAGCACGAGCCTCTATCATCGGAGTCTTCGCCGATGAATTACGGCTGTCCTCCTCAATACGAAGACGAACAACCTGGTCTTCAAGACTCATCTCCTTCCTCTTATGTTTGAGGTAGTTGTTGAAGTCTTTCCAACCCGGCGGCAGCTTTTCAATCACAGCCGCAACTTGGAATGACTCGCTTAGAGACATTCCTTCAGCATGGATATCGTGCAAGATGAGTTGAAACTCTTGCACTTGTGACACAACGGTCTTAGTGTCAACCATTTTGAAGTCAAGAAATTTGCCGACGACGAATTTCTTCGCCCCGGCATCCTCAG